AGCCAATTAAACATTACAGTGGACAGAGTCATGAAGATCAGACCTAATAAATAAACTGCTGGCTGGCAAATGTCATTCATTCACTGTAAGAAAGGTCATTGGCAAAAAAAAAAAACCCAAAAAAATCAAGTCATTAATTATCCAATAATTGAAATTATCCTCTTAAGCAACAACGCCCCCATATACGGAGCCAAAAGGGAGGAGATCACATTTAGGGTTAGGTGTGCGTGCTTAAGAGGTTAAGTTCTTTAAAATAAAATTACAGATCTCGCGTCTCCCCTTCATAACCACCTTACTATCTATCCTCATTATTGGCTACTCAGCTGTGAACATCTTCCTTCTGTACAAAATAAATGCAAGCCCACCACCTCTGCAACTCCTGTCCTCGCCAGATTTATGACTTTTAGCGTGGAGTGAATAGTTGGTGTGTTGTGTATTCATTGTTTTATTTTGTGTGTTTGTGACATTCATTAGTACCCTCACTAAGGCAGGTTACAATGTAAACACTGTCTCCAGGTGGAGCACAGGAGTGATACAGCTCCTGTTTTGTTTATGACTTTATTGTTTAAAAAATTTGGGCGTAAGTTTTCAAAATTTAGAATTTATATTTGAATTTCAAGTTATGAAAATACTTTACTAAACACGTCTGTGGATTTTACAGTTAAAATCAAAATACAACTACAACTTGGATTTTGTTTTTTTGTGTTATTTCAGATCAGTTGTGTTAATAGAGTATGTCGATGAAAAAATAACTGTAAATTCAGACGCCTGAGGTTGAGCTGAAAAGAATGACACTAAGCAAGGCAAGGAAAAAAAACAATTTGAAGGTGAAATACACATGTAAAATCAAAAGTAATCAATAATGGCCAATTATATTTTGGACCTCAGAGGATTATTATGTTTATGGGACAATCACTTTTTTTCCACAGAGGGCCATCCATGCTGGTTTGGATGTTTTTCCCCTTAATGATAAACCCCTTAATTTAGAAACTGCAAGAATTAGGTGACACAGTCTGAGTGCAGCTTTATCTTTATCCACTTGGTAGAGCCCCAGAGCTAAACATGTAAAAGCAGGAAGTTGTTTTCAGGTCTAAAAACACAGCCTTCTCTGAGCTCATTACAATAAAGCATTTACAGTTTTTTCTGATTGCTTAAGCACATTTTTTGTAACTATTGGCTATTTTTGCAAAATTCTACACACAAATAAGAAAACCTGTCACCCAATTATCAAAACATTGTAGTTCTCTTGCAAAAGCGAACACAGCTAGATTAACTCTTCACACCTTCGTAAAAATGGTGTTTTCGTATCAAACAGTATACACAAGCCATCATCTACTAAGCACACAATGCGCCAACTGCACACTCATGGTATGAATACAAAACACATCTGGCTTTTGCTTTCTCTGTGCACAACGTAGGCTATGTCAGTTTGAGCTCATACTTTTGTCATAGGTCTGTAAACATGGAGGGATCCAAACTTCAAGTACTGATGTTTATTTACACACATCAAAACAAACACAAGTGTTTATTTCCAAGTATAGGATTATTTGCAATCGCCAT